TAACCCTGACGAAGCAGTAGCGTACGGCGCCGCCGTGCAGGCGGCCATTCTTAGCGGTGACACGAGTTCTGCTATTCAAGATGTGTTACTCGTGGACGTCACCCCGTTGTCGCTAGGCATAGAGACCGCAGGCGGTGTTATGACCAAAATCATTGAACGCAACTCTACCATTCCGTGCAAACAAACCCAAACTTTCACCACGTACTCGGACAACCAACCTGCCGTCACCATCCAGGTATTTGAAGGGGAAAGAGCTTTGACGAAGGACAACAATTTGCTGGGAACATTTGACCTGACAGGTATACCTCCAGCGCCCAGAGGAGTACCTAAAATTGAAGTGACTTTCGATATGGACGCCAATGGTATTTTGAACGTTTCGGCTAAAGATAATAGCTCTGGGCGCTCTAAGAACATCGTCATCAAAAATGACAAGGGACGTCTTTCTCAAGCCGAAATTGATCGTATGCTCAGCGAGGCCGAACGGTATAAAGAAGAAGATGAGCGACAAAAAGCGAAAATCGCGGCTAGAAACCAGTTAGAGAGCTATGTGTTTGGTGTTAAACAGGCATTGGACGAGGCTGGTGACAAGTTAACCGAATCTGAGAAAAGTACTGGCAAGAAGGAGTGCGACGCAGTCATCGACTGGTTGGATAGAAATCAATTGGCGGACAAAGATGAGTACGAAGACAAGTTAAAAGAAATCCAAAATAGTTGCTCGGCTTTAATGTTGAAGATACACGGCGCAGGAAAGGGCGGAGCAGCTAATATGCCTCCTGGTGCGAATGGTTTCGCTGGAGCAAGAGGAGGACCTACTGTTGAAGAAGTCGATTAAGCTTAATACGATGTCATCGGATTTTTATTAAATACTATTTTGACTGTATCCTACATTTTGATGAATTCCTACTAGTTATAAAATTCACTGTAGATGTAAGTTTAAGTTTATCTTTATATTATATTTCATAATTATGTTTTGTGCACAATAAATATTTATTAGCAGTACACATTTTGCGTTTTTTTTTTACTCGGAAAAATCTTTCAAATGCTCTTAAAACTAGCATTTCTATAGCATAATAACTAATATTCGATTTTAGTTTAGGGCATTGCTGCTCATATATGAATCTTATATTTATTCATATTAGGTATTAATTACCATGTACGTTTAATAATTGTACGTCTGACGAATAATAAAATCCAAAAAAAATAATATTGTTCAAAGAAAAAGTAATTGGAATATTTTATCATTTTCAAGTTATTATATTTTTACTGAAATAATTTTTTTTTAAAAGACAAAAATATATTCTTGTGTACTTATTTAAATTTAAACATCGTACCACCGTTGGTTACATACGTGGTGTAAGTTGACCCCCTTGGACAATAGTTTTAATAGCTTTTTTGAGTATACAAACGTTGAATGCATAAAAAAATGTTAAATATAAAGGTACCTACCTATTTTATATTTATAGATAAATTAAGAACCAGTATACTTATCAGTTATTAACATTTGTATAGCATTAACCATAGGGGCATGAGGAGACAGTTGCTACCTCAGAAAAAATATTGAAAGGGTAAACTTACCATTTTGCCTCCCTCTTAAGTTAAATATTATTTGAACAGTTTTCATTTAAAATAAAATATTTGTATTGAAATTACTTGTGTATAATTATGTAATAAAGTTATTCCCCGTGTTAAGCCTGCCCATCACCACTGATAGAGGGTATATTTTACGCATAATAAACATTAAATATGAAATGTTAAATATATATTAAATACTTATTGTGTATGTATTAAGAAACATCCTTATTGAATCAACATATAGGTAATATAGGTAAATGGCCTAGTTTGGTGTATATGTTGGCCCATTATCTACGTATATAAGATGTTGGATATCGTTACATTTGCCTATCAAATCAACTATGAATCCATCTGTGGATGTCTAATAAACAGCGATTCAACTATGTTTTGCACTCTGGCCCTATAAGGAGTACATGCAATATTGGTCTTCTAAAAATGATAGTACATCTGATGCTTTACGTACCCAATTGAAAGTATTTCTTGCAGTTTTAGTTAGCAAATTTTCATACATAAATACCAAATGATAATGAAACTTATGAAACTACAAGTATTTTGTATAATTGATATTTAGCCAATCTCGAAGAGCAGATAGTAGGTAGTGTATTTTGATAGCCAACAAGTAAGTCAGGGTTGGCTATATAGTATATACATTGTGGTACTTACCTAACATCTGATATATTTTTGATATCACCGTTTAAAATTACTAGAACACTAATAGATTCATTTAGGTACCTATAAGTTTTAAGCATTCTTAATCAACAATTTTATTTTTTGAAAAACTGTCCAAGGACTGTAATGTCTGTAATAAGACATTCCAGTAGTTTCAATTTAATGATAAAGATTTATACTTTTTCTGCAAAAAGATGAAAAATAGTATTAAAATAGATTTGCTTTTCGAGTTTAATCATTTATCATAATGATGATGACTTCAATAAAAAATAATCAATATTTTGTAAAACCACACAAATATGGCATATAATTTACACATATTGTTTCCTATTCTAACCTTCAAATCTTCCTTAACATTAAAAATATTATTTTAAGAAAAATAAATGTTAAACAAAATTTAAAAAAATAATTAATTATCCCTTTATCCTTTTTGTAATCATTATATTGGAATATAATAATTTCTAACTGAAACATTTTGTATACTGGTTAAATGCATCAGAAATGTATGTAGTAGGTACATAATAAATAAATTGAAAAACATTAAATACATAATAGATATATTTCTAAGTTTTTTAGGTAACTGAATATAAGTTAATATTTCCAGTCTCATTATAGGGCTAATTTTAAAAAAATGTTCACCTAGTTACTCCATAATTCATTTTTCTGTTTTTGAATTTAAAACAAACAGTGCTGATTATTTAACATCCAGATAATTGGTACCTAGGTAAAAACATTCAACATACCTCAATGTTTACTTTTATTTTATATAATTTTTTCATAATAATCTTCAAAATATCTTCATTCTTCCCAGTAAATAAGTCAAATAATTCTTATAAATTTATCTTAATTGAGCTAATGAATTATCACACTTGTCTAATTCTTCTAAAACTTCATAATTTGTCTAAAGTTAAATGTTTATAAAAAATAAAAATATACAAAATATACCTAAATACCTCAACAGCTATAATTAAAGAAGGTAACAAGTCTATTGGTGTTGGTAAGTGGTAACTGTTTAGAATTACAACCATTGAACCTCAATTTATTCAATTGTTTCTTGAAACTTTGTTCTGTTTAAACTTATATTTAAATATTGCTCATTTCTTGTGGTTTTTCGTCAACATCTTAAAATAAGTTATACATTTTCTTTGAATCATTTGTATAAGTGAGTATTTAAGTAAATAATTCACCATCATGTTCTGGAAAATTGCCTTCCCTAAAGACATTTGAATGATCCATAAGAGCTATTAGGTACAACTTTTTGATTAATTGGACTGTACACATTTAAATTACTCAATGTCTATAATAATTAAATAGTATTATTATTTATCTTATGAGTATACAACATAAGGAAACTATAGTCTGAAATCTGAAATGAATGATTTTTAAGATAACAATTCATAAGCTCGCTCAGTGGAATTATCGTTGTGTTCATTATACACTATATAATGTTATATTTATATAATAATATTATGTATTTATATAAAATAATAATAAGAATAAATATAGAAGGATGAAAGTTACTTTGTTTTGTATTTTAAATTAATTTAATACGTTAGTGTAGAAGAATATGGCTAATTTGTTTTTATACATTACATTTATAATTCTATAATTAAGCATTATATTATTGTTAAAATCTATAAAATTGATTTAGTTAATATTATTAATTATTATAATAACTCAATTAAAGTAATTAAACACTATATTATAAGACAGATAATTTCAGACTTAAAATTTGAACTTAGGAATATTATTTTTTCTAACTTAAAGTAATATTTATTTATTTTTGCTATATTTAGTGCATTTAAATAGGTACTTATCAAGATTTAATTTACAGAAGCTTTACTTAAAAATATATTAAAATTAGTGCCTTAATAATTTAAAACTATTGATAAAAAATGTAATAATACATATTTATTTCAATTTTCAATATACTAGTTTTTCATAACAGTGATGAGTTGTAATAGGTATATAATTTGTATACTATATCTTTATGCACAATTAATATTTTTCAAATATTTATTTAAGTAACTTTGCACCAAATTTTAACTACTATAGTATTATGTTTAATTTATTTACAATTAAACATTCAAGTTTATTTAAATTATCTATATCATTAAGAGTTATATGTTCAGCAGTAAATTTGTTTTTTAGTTGGATGTGAAGAACATGATTGATTTTTTTGAATTTCTAGCTTTTCTCTATAAAATGTTCACCTAAAAGTGGTGTTTCAGATAATTTTTAATTGAGGATATAAAATTTAACTAGAACAACTAACCAGTAGTTTTCCAATAGGGTATACTCTAGGTATGCAGTATACTTTCAATTTTTTTATGAAATCTAAAATATACTCTTAAATCTCAATGAATTTTTGAAAAAATAGTTATTATTTTTGTAACAAACAATTTATGTTTTTATTGAAAACCAAATAAAATATATTTTTTGGGCATATCCATTATTTCAGGCGGCAAATATTGTTCAAAAGGATCATAATATAGTTTATTTTTTTTTTATCAATACATTATGTAACAATACAATAAAATATTTAATGATTTTATGAGCAATTAGGAATTAGTTTCAACATATATTTATTTTTAAAATTAATCATCAAAATATTGATCAATAAATATTTATATTACCAATAAGTATGAATATCACAGGATTAATTTAAATATTATTTATTTATCACAAGCAATGCTAGTAATATTCATGGACAGTTCTTAAAAAAGTTAAATAAGTGATTAAGATTTAAAAAAAAAATATGAATCTAAATCACCTCTAATGTTGTTAAATATTATTAATATAATAAAAAAAGTGTAAAAAAATATATATTAAAACATTGCATAATTAATACTAATTCATTGATGTTAGCTAATAGTAAAGACAACAATAGTAATATAAAGAAATAAGGAATTTTTAAAGTTCATCGTCTAGCACTGGAAAATCACCAATTTCAACTGCTGAAGGAGTAACGAAAGATCCATACTTTGGAAGTGTTTCAAAATATTGTTTTCCATTTAAAGTTCCGTTGTGTTTGCCATACGGCTCATCATATTTGACTCCAACCCAATAGCCACTTTTGTCATCTAAACGTCCTTTGTACATAACTGTGCCATGTTGAGCAGGTTTGTTTGGTAGTCGAATACAACACCTCTGACCAATTTCCATCTTGTCAATTAGTTCTTTTTCAATATTCTCTTGTTGTTCTTTCTCCAGGTTTTCTTGTTCTCGTTGTTTCAAATATTCTGGATTATATTTGCCCAGCTTGTTGTTCTTTAAAAAGCTCTTTAATGTTTCCTAAAAAAAGTTATGTTAAAATTAAATTATACATAAGACAAAGTTATAGTCTACCAGTAGGATTGTAATCTAAAATACAAACTTGTTTAGCATTATATTCTTCCTCCGTCATTTTGTAGCCATCAACAGAATCCTGATCAGATTCCACATATGCTGGATCATCAACCAATAAAAACATACCGTTTTCAACTGGATATGATCCCAACTGGGAATCGTCATCATCCAATTTGGCTACCAACTTATCTTTATCGTAAGCTGATAGTATCATCGTACCAGCTGATCGTCCAGTGATCATTTCCAATTTAATTTTCAGATCATTAATCGTCATACCTTTTCTGTATCTCCTCGTATTTATTTCTGGTTCTGACAATTTTGTACATATGTAAACTTCTAACATATCTGACAATTGATTTTCTTGATGATTCATGTTTGTTTATAAGACACAATGAAGTAAACCAAAAAATTTAATATTATAGTTATTCAATAAATATTTTTTATAATATCCACTTAACAATAATCCAACCAAAAAAAAGTACAAGCAACAAACGGTTAGTCATTCATGCTTCTTGATTGCTCGTTACTCGTGACTCATGAGGGATGAAGATAATTTTTAATACCGCATTACCGCCATAGAACCATAAAGTTTAGAGATAAGGATATCAATGATATCATTATACCAATCAGCCGCGCCACAATACTGAAAAACGTCCAGAGAAAATTCATACCACGGACTAAGATATAATGGACTGGCATCCAAACAATTTCGGTGGATCTCAAACGTCTGGTGTTATCACTTGTTATGGGAGCTTAACTGTTACTAGCGCGCATGGTGGTTTAATTTTAAGCCACCGACAACGAACCAATAAGTAAATTATATTATCTTCTATTTTTATACCTAAAAGGCTAAAGCAGTATAGCCCATAACTGGCATGACTAAATTCTTAATTCAGTTAATTCTTAGTTTCTTACTTCTTAGTTATCCGTGCTACAGATTAGAAGTACAGACTAGACAAAATGTATTTACACAAGTAAGAAGTCAGAAGTAGGTAACAAATAAAATACATAAATACATAAATACATAACTTTTATATATAATAATTTATTATTTTTATTAGTGTTATGTATTAACTAGTTTTGAATGTTTTTTCTTTTTAGCATTATTTTTGTTTTGATTTTTATTCATTACAAGTGTGTACTGACGCATTCTCATAACAATGTAATCAGATAAAATGAACTTTAATATTTCAGTTTTGTGATCTGCACATGGAAATTTGATTGGACCATATTCCTCAAAGAAATTATTCAAAGTGAGCTCAAAGACATCATTACTGTCACAAAACTTCGAAAATGAGTCTTCAACAGCTGACAATATTTTAAAAACAAATTCATTTGGATGGATCAAACCGCCTTTGGTTTTTAGATTAACCAATGTAGCTTCTGGTTTATCTGAATAATTTTTTGAATCTAGGAAAATAATTTACTTATATAATATCTTATAATTATAAATATCTTACCTATAATTAGTAACACATTTTTAAATTTAATGTTGTATAGTTTTAATTAATAATACTATATTAAAAGGTACCAATTAATGCTTTTCTGCAAAGTTCACAAGTAATGCGCTTGGTGTAATTTTTAGTTATGTATCCACAAATGTAATAAATAACACAGTCTTTAGTTTCAGCTTTAAAGTAACTGTGTATACTTGTATCAAACACAATATCAATTTCAGTTTCTTGTACAACCAGCATGTCCAATTTTTGTTTTAATAAATTAATTTTATTAGTACGCTCTGTTGTATCATTATTGAAGACATTTTTTAAGTCATCAATAGTTATTTTTGGTGTACCACTGTCCAAAATTTTGCAATTCCCTGTTTTTGGTGGTCTTAAAATAGAGTATACAGATAGGGTCTTGTATATTTGCAAAAATGTTGATGAACAGGGATGATCATTTGGTCCGCTTACTTGTCTAGCAATACCAAAAAATTGCTTGTTAAAAAAAAAAAAAAATACATTAATTAGGTAGGTACTAGTTACTAGTACTATATTATTATTTTAAATTTTTATTGTTACTTCTAATAGATCTTGATTAAACTTGTATGACAAAACATATTTAAATTGGCATTGTTCCAACAGAAACCTAGATAACTCTATTGTAGATAGTATAGTAACCCTTAACCCGTCTGCACATACTAACACACCCTTCTACCGAACACTTTTTTACTTTCATTTTTAAATTCATAAGATAAACAAGTTGTTTCAATAGTGTAACTTAACAATCAAATGTGTTTATTTACAATTGTATGTTTATTATTATTTGAATTCCATTTATTTTTAGTAATTTTTAAATTTGCCTCCATAGATCCATGGTAGATAGTCAATAGTTTAAAATTAAACCACTATTAGCGCTAGTAACAGTTAAGGTCCCATACCACTGTGATAACGCCAGACATTTGCGAGTTCTACTCCCTACCCCGCTCACCATATCGATGCCAGTCCATTATATCTTAGTCCGTGATTCATACTACTTAATTACCACTAGTAGCGCGTCGGGTGTTTGTGTAGCAATAATAATTGAGCTGTTCAATTATTGTCTATAATGTAAGAATTAATTAAAAGTTACAACTATTAACTATTATTTTAAATTTTTGAAATAAACATTCAATACCATTGATCATGGCCTAGGTATTACATTTTTTTAAATGATAAAATCACCGATTTATACATACGTAATACACTAATACGTGTATCACATACAATTAAGTTTGTAGTATTAATTGGAATTTGAATTTGTATTATGAATTATGAAATGCAATTATTTTATGCTTTGCTCTGAATATAATCCTATAAAATACAAATATTTTGCTATATAAATGTAATAAATTGATTAATTTATTATTACATTTAACTAACATTCATTGATAACTTTTTTGTAGCTCGCTATAAAGCTGCAAGGTTCTTTCATTGGACCTCTTTTCTATCTTTTCAAGTGTAAGAATTTTTCAAAAACCCTGCACAACTCCTTCGCTTTATACAGGATTTTATTACCTGTATTGTCCGGAAGATCCAAGAATGGTGGCCAACAACAATAACAAATCCTATCGCCTATCCAACCTTCCTTAAAAAATGATTGACCGCAATCAATAATTATTAAGTAGGTACCTATTGAATATAAAATTAATATGGTTTATTATATATTTTAGCTTCACAGATTAGCTATATCACTGAATAGATTCAGTTTAATCTATTCTGTGGCTATATTATAAACTTGCTGAATTACCCGTCGTTGCTGGGCTAAAATATAAAAATGTATGTAATCTGGCAAGATTAAATATTGTCTATTCTATTTAAATAAAATTTAATTAATAATGTTGAAATATTATTTTATTTATATTTATTAATTATTAAGAACATTTTATTATTATCATAACTAGAAAACGAATTTAAATGCTCTAAAAAAACAAGAAAAAATGCCTTAAAAAAATACGATTTAATGTACTCATAACAGAATTTTTTTTTTCAAATATTCTACATAAATGCTCTTAAAATTATTTTTAACATTGAAAAATTTGTTCAATTATATACATTTTTATTCTTAGGTATTAATTATTCGTATTATTCTATATATACCTATAAGAATCTATGCGTGTTAATAATAATAATTTCGTCTGTCATAACATTTATCTGATTGGTAAAAACATGATAAATAATAAAAATAAAATTACGACATATTACTATCATACTACCTTAGGATTTACTTTTTTTAAAATTCTTTCTTAGTAGATGTCTACATCACAATAGCAATAGCTATATGTATGCCAATTTTCAGCCCAATTCGTCCAATGGTTTGAGCATCTATAGATCAGTTAGTTAGCACTCAGCTTACTATTTTTTATAAACCTACAGAAGATTATAACTTAACACCGGATTTTTGTCCAACTAACACATAAAAAACACGCAATTAAAATGTTAAAATATGCATAATTATGCAAAAAAAAATTTTCAATATAGGTACTTCAAATTTTATTTTTAATATTTATTTTTATAATATTATTATTTATTAGTTGACATTACTTTTTAAGTACCTATTATTTATATTAAAATATAAAATTAAAAAAAAAAAATTAGTTTAATTTAAGTAAAACAATAATTATAATTAGTCAGTTATAACTTATAACTGACTATAGGTATGCGTATAAAACTGACTTTTCTTGCATATTTGATTAAAATATATAGTCATTTACATTTCTAAGTTTTTTTACAAAACTATGTCCAATTTTCGGCATTTTAAATTAAATGATATCAAGTAAAAGTATCAACTATAAAATTTTTATATTTAACACGAGTTGTACTAATTGTATATATAAAGTTTAAATAAAAAAATTTAAAAAAAAACACGAGTTGATCGAGCTGCGGATAGACTGTAGTACTGTATATTTGTATAATGTATCGATGATTTATCGACTATCGTAATACCCATAGTTATCATTTTAATTACACCGTATTATATTGATATATTATATATAAATATATAATTATATTATTAGATATAAAAGTCCAATACTTCATATAACAACATAATATAGTAGTGATTAAGTAGATATATGATAATATAATATAGATTATACAGCAAAAATATTTGTACAAAAGTACCATTTAGTGTGTTTTTATAAAAAAAAACCAAAATGTGCAATTATGCAATATAAAACTTTCTTTAAATTAATGTACATCTCTTAATTTGAATTTGTAGCTTGTTTTTATAGAATTTAAGACATGCCTTAAAAAGATGCAATTGCACGGGAATCCGGATTTATAACTTTATGACTTTAAGAGCAACAAACAGCGAAGTTTACCAGTTGCCTATCTAAAACGCCTTCTAAGTAATTATTTTGTTAAATTTTATATTTTTCTATGGTTAAAAAAACTGTTAATAATTATCAAGTTTATTTTTTAAATTTACAAGTTATAAGAAGGGTAGGATGTTTGTGGACTTATGTGCTTATAAATAACAACATATAACATATATTGTACTTAAAATGTAATCATTTGTTTATAAATAGTAATTTAATACTGGTAATTACTGTGTGAATATGCAATATGGAAATATATTTTGAATAAACAATGACAAATGAGCTAATATTAAAAAAAAATCATTAGGTAAGTCTCTCTTCCAACAAATATAAACACAAATTTATTTTTACTTTAAATTTTTTTTTAATTCAGAAAAAAATATAACATTTACAATCTATGCAAAATAGCACAATAAGCAAATTTGCAAAACAACATAAACTAAAATATCAATAAAACGTGATAGGACCCTTTTTTAAATTATATTTTGAATACAATTTTATAATTAAATAAGAATTATTTTCTTAAATTTAAATAAAATAATTTGTTTTGAGTAACATTTTATTAAAAATATTTAAAAATTAAGACAGTTACTTATTTTAAATTTATTTTGATTGTTTAATAATAAAGTAGATCTTCAATAAACACATTTTTAGATTTTTTGTATCGCTGTCTTTTGTACGATACACATGTAGGTAATTATGGAAGTTGCTAGTTTTGGTATTAAACTATCTATATGATTGGTATATGATTATATAATGTGGCCATGTATAATGATTAATGACCTATTTTTATTCATATAGTTAAATAATTTAACAGTTTAATTACCTACGTCTACTTTTAAGTTAAAATTAAATCAATCTAAAAATATAAGTTATGAATAACTGTATAAGTTAATAACAATTTACAAATTGAATTGAAATTACTGAAATAACAAATTCACTATTTACAAGACACTAAGACACATAATCAGTTAATTAAATAAAAGTAATCTGTATTAGTATTAGACATTAGCGCTATAAATTATAAAATACATAATAATATTATATGATAATTTAATAATTTATTCTATTATAGTATTATGGCTTCTGATAATAAATTATCATTCAATGAAAAATGTAAATAAAATATTATTGTTTATATTTGGATATGATAACACCGATAACGCTATCAGGTATGAAAAAATGTAAGATAACATAGACTATGCGCAAATGCTGTATTGCTGTAGCCATCAACCGATATCGATAATATTATAGCATTGAGTGTTAGAAGTTAGTTATTAATGTTATAATTCTATTAATGAATAACGATGATGAAACGTCAACTTCAAACAATGTCATCTTCTAGTGTTGTTTATTTGTTAAATCTCTCCTCCTCACTCCAGTTTGAATTTATAAGTAAAGTCGCACAGTGTGAACCGTGAAAGATCAATGAGTATCGTTGTGAGACCATTTTGTTGAAGCATAATAACAATGACGCACTCATTAAGAGAATTTCCACCACCAGATTATTGTTCAGAGACTATCGCAAATAAGGTATGTCCATAATGAATTTTGTAGATACATTTAAGTCTCAGTTAAAAAAAGATGTGTATGAGAGAGTTCATTATACACAGCAGACCCTGGACTAGGATCATAATAAGGCAAGGGGCTCTCAAGATGAGTATGGTTATGATAATTTTTTTGTACTCAAACAATGTTTGAATTATCAGAATTGTAGTCTGTCATAGTGCCATCAATTTATTTGTACAAAATAAATATTAATTGTTCAATAACTGGGTTAATATAAATTGAAGATGATAATTTTTAAGTAGTTAATTAATTACTATATTCTATCTTATTATAGATACTAAAATATTACTCATTACTAAAACTAAAAGTGAGATTTGTAAGAGAGTAACATATTTATGAGAATTATAGTACCTAAATTAATACTATATACAATAACTACAATATTAGAAAAATCAACAATTGTCAATTATTATATAATAATATTTTACTCTCCAAATTTCTTTTTAAGTATTTTTTTGTTTTCATTAAATTTAAAATGTGATTTTCTCAAATAGATTTTAAATGACTATTTTTTTTAAATAATGATTATTTAAGTTATGACCAACCAATTTTATTTTTCAATTTTTTTTTATAGTTTATTTGAGACTATAGATACTATAGCTATGATATTAAACAATTTATCTATAACAATAGCCAATTGCTTAGTTAAGAAATGCATGGAAATGACAAATGTTAAAATTAATAAACATTTCTATGCCTAATATAAAAATTTTGCTAACATACCTAAATAATTATGATATAGTGAGTAATGTATGATGTATACAATAATAAAATTGAAATCTTCATTTATTAGTTATTTGATTTTTTTTTA